TGGATCGATGGGGGGATGGATGGGTGGATGGATGGACGGATGGATGGACGGATGGATGGGTGGACGGACGGATGGATGGATGGATGGGTGGGTGGGTGGATGGATGGATGGATGGATGGGTGGGTGGATGGGTGAGTGGATGGATGGGTGGATAAATAGGTAGACAGATGGGCAGGTGGGTAAATGGGCAGGTGGACAGATGGGTGGATGGAGAGGTGGGGAGGGTGAAAATGCATGGGGATACCAAGGGAGCCCTTCAGCAAGACCTGGGAGGAGAAAGTGCTAAGGCACTGCACGGCCGCACAGAGGTGGAGCTGTCTCCTGCACGCAGAGGTCAGCCCAAGATCTGTTTCCTCAGTCTCTTGCTCCCACTTCTCAGGTGATGACCCATCTCAGAGAAATCGTGTCCCACCACCCAGGAAGGAGGAATCCGGTTGTGATCCTAAATGTCCCAAATCAACACTTGGTCCCAGGCCTTCCATCACCAGGAACAGAGGCTTCGAGATGGAGAAAAAGGGACCAGGCAGGCTGCCCAAGACAGACAGACTGCCCTTATCAACTCCTCCCTCCCCCTCGCTGAGCACAGCCAGCAGGACACCATGCTGTGTCACTTCTTCCCCAAGGAAGCCCACAAGCTCCCCACTGCCCACTCACCTGCCCTCCCATCTGGCCCTTGGCTGTCACCAGGGAGAGTGCCACGCCTCCTGTCAGGTCTCCCTGCCTCCTTGCATGCCCCACAAGTCTCCAAGCGCTGGCCAGGCCAGCCCACACCCTGCCTACCACTGGCTGTATCTCCTCACTGCCCTGGACACCAAGTCTGAACTCCTTGTCCCCTCCAGGGTGGCCCTGGCAGCCACCGCACAAAGAGACTTGTCCACACAGCAGTGACAGGCCATCTAGGAAGGAAGTGCTCATTGCCAGACAGATTCTAGCAATTCCCATGCTTTCTTGGTGCCTTCGGATGTTAGGTCCAGTTACGTGTCACTTCATGACAATGGGGACATGTTCTGAGGAGCGTCATGGAGCCACATCGGTGTGCACTCACACAGCCTTGATGGTGCAGCACACCCAGGCCGGACAGTGTCTCCCAGTGCCTCCAGGCAGCAAAACCTGATGGCAGGTGGCTGTGCTGGGTGCTGTGGACAGCTGTCACAGGATGGACTTTGTGTGGCCACACACGGAAAGGGCACAGTTAAAATACTAGCTAGGAATTTTCTGCTCATCACAAGTCACGGAACCACATAGCCCAATGCCGACAGAGACGTAATTATGCAGTAGTGAAGATAGCCATGGCCGCTCGTGAATCATGGATGAGTTGTCACTTCCGGGCTGGACTCCTCTATGCACCTGTGGCCGGCTGTGGCTCCAGTGGGCCACCCTGCGGATCTCAGCAGAATCCCCTCTCGTTCTTTGGGGTCAGCTCACTCTGAGCTGGTCGAGGATGCCTTTCGGTGAGTCAGCCAGGTCTCTCATAGGCACATCTTTCCTGCAGGCCAGCCCATGCTTGGCCACTGAGGTCAGCAGTGCCCAGGAGACAGCAGATGCCACTGGGCTTCCTGAGGCCCAGGCTCAGAACATGGCATGACTTATGCCACATCCCACTGGCCAGGGCGGCTCACAGAGCCAGCCCCGAGTCAGGGCATGGGACACAGATCCACCGCTCACTTGGAGGACCCATGCAGCCGCAGTGTCAGGCAGGGGAGTCACTGCCCACTGACCGCACGGCAGGGCCTCAGCTTCTCACCTCCTGGATTCAATCCTTTTGTTTTGTTGAAATCAGGGCCTCACATCGAGCTATACCCTCAGCCCTTTAAAATGTATTTTGAGACAGGGTCTCACTAAGCTGCCCAGGCTGGCCTTAAACTTGTGATCCTCCTGCCCCAGCCTCCCGAGTAGCTGGGATTACAGGTGTGTGCCACAACACCTAACTCAGTCTTGGATCTTGTCTTCCTCTGTCCCATCCGTGAACAAGTCCAGTTGATTCTTCTTCAAACTATTCCCAGGTCTGCCCCACTCCCTGCGCTCTGTGAGTCACACCACCAGCCATTGGTGTGTGTGAGTCTGGCTGGCTTCTAGC